ACGTCACTGTAAGCCACTGCTGTTACAAATAGTAACCCTACGATCTTTGGGCCTCCTTCCCAAAGTAATAATTCTTAGTCCGGGTTTGAAAAACTAGTAGAGGATGCATGGCGATGGAGCCACCAACGATTCTGGCGACAGCATTCATGTGGCACAACAAAAAAATCGCTGTGAGCCGTTTACTTGTCAGATACAAGGACACATAACTTGTTTCATAAATAGCTTCTACCGAAAGTATATCTGTAACACAAAGGGCTCATTCCAGTGCGTGTCTATAAAACAAAGACAAATGTATGCAGCATGATAGGAATTTGGCACTGGTTCTTTTGTCCAAACAAAAAATCTTGTTGCTTCAGGTATCTAAGGACGGAAAAAGCTTCACTAAAAGTATCTAGATTTCGGAGTTTTTCCTTTTTATCATCATTTATTATCGGAGATGTCGCAATGAAATTGTACCACAATGCCGACAATTGCGACATCATCGGTTAACACAATCATATGACATGACGAATCTCTCTGCCACTGAAACTGGTTGGCTCTACCTTCACGTTCAAGACACTGGCTATTGCTGTTTACAAACTGAAAAAGATGAAAGAGTGTTTTTGGATGATGAAAAGAATCTCATCCCATTATTATATGCATAGTTTTAACAATTTATCAACACGAGAGAGATTCTCAAAATATATATTTCATCACAAGGACCAGTGAGTTTCTACCTTGTCTGACATGTTATACTTTGTTAATTTTTTCATGGTTTATGGTTGAAACTAGGTCTGATCTATTCAGTTTTAATGTTTTCAAGGATAGTCAAGAATTACTTTGTTATACTCATAAAGTATTTATTTGAGGTGAACATCATTATCAACCTCGGGGACATTCCGGGTAAGAACATAGGTCCACAGCAAACTGTGACTTGGTTGACTGATGGATCAGGTGGTTAGGCCCTGTGACTTTGTTGATTGATGGATCAGGTGGTCAGGCCCTGTGACTTGGTTGATTGATGGATCGGGTGGTCAGGCCCTGGGACTTGGTTGACTGATGGATCGGGTGGTCAGGCCCTGGGACTTGGTTGACTGATGGATCGGGTGGTCAGGCCCTGTGACTTGGTTGATTGATGGATCGGGTGGTCAGGCCCTGTGACTTGGTTGATTGATGGATCGGGTGGTCAGGCCCTGGGACTTGGTTTATTGATCGATCGGGTGGTAAGGCCCTGTGACTTGGTTGGTTGATGGATCAGGTGGTCGGGCCCTGTGACTTGGTTGACTGATGGATCGGGTGGTCAAGGCCATGTGACTTGGTTGACTGATGGATCGGGTGGTCAAGGCCATGTGACTTGGCTGATTGATGGATCGGGTGGTCAGGCTCTGTGGCTTGGTTGACTGATGGATCGGGTGGTCAGGTTTGGTGACTTGTTCGAAGATCGCTTACTGTGGTATATTGTTGACTGCTATGAAAACCAAATTTTACCAGAAGTAGTGAGTGAAAAGAGTACTTTTCGCTGGTGGTAATACAATATATAATACTCACCTCCAAAAGACACCGAACTAAAGAAACATTTGGAGAAGTAGTGAGTGATTGAGTATGGTTTTACGCCGCTTTTAGCAATATTCCAGCAAAATCACGGCGGGGGACACCAGAAATGGGCTTCACACATTGTACCCATGTCGGGAATAGAACCCGGCGACGAGCGAACGCTTTAACCACTAGGCTACCCGACCACCCTCTTCTAAAAGCAGAGTCGATTGTTCGATTCCGACTATATCATGTGCATGTGTTTACGAATCACGAGTGTTCTCGTCTCGCACCATGACTGTGGAATATAATATTTTATGAAAACATCTGGATTAAAATAATAGCAAGTCTAGCCAGCTGTATTCCACTATGAAATCAGCATTAGGAAAGTTATTTGTTTTATTTTTAGAGGAGAGAAATGTTTTGTGCCATAAAACAAATCTGAACGTTTTATTGAGGCCTGGAAAGTTGTAAGCAATTGTTTTAACGTTAGGCTCATTGCTGTTGGCTGAGTCTTTATCATCTGGTCTTGATATTATCGGCGTGAAGAGCGCAGAGAGGAATTTGCTGTGACACAGCTGAATTATGTCTGGAGTGAGGGGGGATGTGCTGTTTTCTCTATGTCAGTTGATTAGGCTTATATTAGTGAGTGGTCTAAAGTGAATTTTACACCACAGTTAATATTACGCTTTTTCACAGGTATTTTCCCCTTTAAGCTATATGGAATCTGTTTCGGAGGATTATCCAGACTGGTTGTTCTCTTGCATCTGGGCGTTCGGGTAGCCTAGTGGTTAAAACGTTTGCTCGTCACGCCGAAGACCCGGGTTCGATTCCCGACATGGGTACAATGTGTGAAGCCTATTTCTGGTGTCTCCCGCCGTGATATTGTTGGAATATTGCTAAAAGCGGCGTAAAACCATACTCACTCACTCACTCACTCTCTTGCATCTCTTGAGGCTAGTGAAATATTTGGATGGACCTCTTTTTCAGATGTTGTTATAAGCTACAAAAACCACTCGTCCCGGGGGCGGTCGGGTAGCCTAGTGGTTAAAGCGTTCGCTCGTCACGCTGAAGACCCGGGTTCGATTCCCGACATGGGTACAATGTGTGAAGCCCATTCCTGGTGTCCCTCGCCGTGATATTGCTGGAATATTGCTAAAAGCGGCGTAAAACCAAACTCACTCACTCACTCGTCCCGAAATGTGCCGGTTCTCATACTGTACAGTACGTAGAGTCTCTCAAACAAACCTTGAAACAAACATATCCGAAAACTCCCAAATAAGTCTAGATTTCTTCCTTTTCAGGCTGCAAATAGAGATTGTCTGGTGCCTTTCTAATAAATGTTAGTTTATGTCTACCCTAAACCCTGAATAGTATTACGCTTTAACCACTAGGCTACCCGACCGCCCTTGGAGAAATACAGAAGTTAAGAACCACTTGATGACAGAACAGTGTGGCGCCTTAAGGATTCTTGTAGAACAGCAAGTCCATGTTAATATTTTATTTGGTGACACTTTTGGTACAGTGGTCAAAGGTGTTGCAACAGAGTTGTGTTCCTTAGGCTTACCAGGAACTTAATATCGTTGGTTTGAATCCAACATTCGTCCAGATTATGCTTCTAGGCCTGTCACCACCCTATCCTGCCCGTGGAGATCCGGGTTAGAAAAGGTCTAGGTCTTCAGCATCCCATGCTTGTTGTAAAAGACGACTAACGGGATCGGGTGGTCAGGTTCGCTGCCTTCGTTGATGCATGTCATCGTATCCAAATTGCGTAGATCGATGCTCATGATATCAATCACTGGATTGTCTGCTCCATCTTGATTATTTATTTACAGACCGCCGTCATATGGCTGGAATATATCTGAGTGCGGCGTTAAACAACAAACAAAACATACCATTGCTCGTACATCTGAAATAATGTTCAGTGTTTTGAAAATGAGGCTAAAACAGGTACAATATTCGAGTCGCGTGAGGGATTTCTATGAAAGCAAAACACATACTTTGTTGAATCGACCATGCTTATAGAAAAGATTTCGTTCCATTCGGAAATAAAAGACAAAGGGTCTCTTTCACTGGATACAATAATCACTTCTGTAAGTATAAAATGACTTATCAGAATGTGTATACAACGCAGGTCGACGGTTTTGATGTGTAACCCTATTATTAGGTGATAATTCTTTGATGTTATGATTCCAGTAATGACATCCTAAAGTTATATGTGGAGGCCACATTTCGGCCGACAAACTGACATAACTGTAATAGTTAACATAAAACGATGATTTCCATCTCAAACACCAGCTATGTCTGTCTGTCTAATCTCACTGAATTCATTTTCCTTTAATAATTCCAATTGATTTCTAAAGTTGTTTTTCTCTTTGAATTATAAAAATAGTGGGGATCAAAATATGTTGCTTTTCTTGCGATAATTTAAAGTGTGTCCGTTATTTGATCTTTGCACGTCGACTCTCTGGTGTCCGCCGCTGTGACATTGCTGAAAGATTGCTAAAAGCGGCGTAGGACCATACTCACTCACTGAGGCGCCGCGATTCGCTGTGCAGAGTTGCGTCCCTTAGGCACGCCAGAGACCTATGATCGAGGGTTGGAATCCCGGTTCGCCCAATCATGTTTCTGTCTGTCAGCACCGAGCCCCTGCCCTTGGGTTTCACCAATGTGGTAAACGCCTGAGACCTTCATCACTTCCGCCTTAACCCCCACATTAAGCTGACACAACATGATATGACTGGAATATTGTAAAAAGCGGCGTTAAACCTAACTAACGTCACCACCTCAGAAACCACAGGATCAATCAAACTAGTACTTAGCATGCTTGTTTTCTATCACCAGTTACATTTCCTGAATTTCAATGTGACCGCCATTTTGTTTTTTGTAAACAAGTTCAATCATTTTCTTCTAAAAAACCACAAGGTATTTTCCTGCATGATAAACTCGGCTCTCGTGTTTGCCTCCATAATAAGGATGAAGTGTGATTAAATTAACAATAAATAAGGTGCTTTTACTATTTAGGGGTGTCTTTCATTTCCAGGACCCGTGAAGATTCCGGGGTAGAATAGGTCTTCAGCAACCCATGCTTGCCGTAAAAGGTGACTATGCTTGTCGGGATCGGGTGGTCAGGCTCGCTGACTTGGTTGATGCCATTGATCCCAATTGCGTGGATCGATGCTCATGATATCAATCGCTGGATTGTCTGGTCCAGAGGCGATTATTTTCCAGACCGCCGTCATATAACTAGAACATTGCTGAGTGCAGCGTTAAACAACAAACCAACCAACTACCTTTCATTTCCAGAGCAGACCTCGCAATCTGAAACTTTGCACAAAACATTTGAAGAGCCAGTTGTTAGCCACAATCATAGTTTTGCCATTCGGTTTTGGTGTTGTTGACTGGATGATAGGTCGCCGAGTCATTCTTTTGTATAAATCATAACATTTATAAGTTTCACCAAATTGTTCTTAAAATTCTGCTTTCAGGTAGTGTCTACCCATCTGACTTCCCAAAATGACGAAGAAGATTACCGTCCTCGTTTGCGGGGGAGGCAATGGCGCCCACGTGACAGCTGGTCTCGCTGCATCACGTGATGACATTGAAACGAGGGTGCTCACGACGTTTTCTGACGAGGCAGAAAGATGGACGAACATCATGAAGGAGAACGATCTCAGGATTACCGTCGATGAAGGTGACATAAAAAGCGGAGAATCGGTAGATTTTAAGGTTAAACTCAATTGCATCACCAAAGACCCGTCGAAGGCAGTTCCGGGTGCCGATGTCATAATTTTCACTGTTCCAGCGTTTGCCCATCAGAGCTACCTCGAAGCCATTGAGCCCTACATTCAACCTAACACCACCATTGTTGGAATGCCCGGTCAGCCTGGGTTTGAGTTCCAGGTGTTTGATGTGCTTAAGGACAAGGCCAAGCAGTGTGTCGTCATGTCGTTTGAGTCTTTGCCTTGGGCATGTAGGATCGCTGAATTTGGCAAATTTGTTCAGATCCTGATGGTAAAGGTAAATCTTATGGGATGTATAATTCGCGGTCAGAGCAAGCCTTCGTATGATCCAATGGAAGCTGTTCAGAGAGTGATGGGAAAAGCACCTATTCTTACCCAGGCGAATAATTACATTGAACCAATACTCGCCACTAAGTCTATCATCCATCCTCCGATAATGTACGGTAAATGGAAAGACTGGGATGGTAAACCCATTGAAAAGAAGCCCCTATTCTACCAAGGTCTTGACGAAGAGCAAGCTCGTTATCTTGGCGGTATAAGTGACGAGTTGGTGGCGACGGCCAAAGCTATTGCAGCACAGAAACCGGAAGTGGATCTTTCCGGTGTCCTTCACCTTTACGACTGGTACCTTCGCGATCACAAACCATACATCAAAGATACAACCAGTCTCCTAACTGTCTTGCAGACAGACACGGCATATGACGGCCTTGTCCATCCGATGAAGGAAACAGAAGATGGCAAATTTGTTCCCGATTTTCGCTACCGGTACTTGACAGAGGATGTCCCGAACGGCCTGGTGGTGACCAAAGGGCTAGCCCAGATCGCGGGCGTCCCCACACCCTCCCATGATGAGGTGATAGCCTGGTGTCAGAAGCAGCTGGGCAAGGAGATCATTGTTGGTGACGAGCTGAAGGGGAAAGATATAGGTAGTACAAGATGTCCTCAGCGTTATGGCATCAACACTATGGATGCTCTTGTTAATATCATGTGAACAATGACGCTGTCTTTGACGTCAGGAAAACGTAATTGGCATAACAAGTAGGTCGTTCAGGGTTGTTCTGGAGTATTACCGAAAAAAATGAACTGTCACATAACATTATTTAAAAGATAATTAATTATGCTTCATTTTATTGAAATAAAAGACATTATCTCCCCCAAAAAATACATTGGTCCAAGGTGTTTACATTACATAATATTCAAGCTCACAAATCTCCAGAAATCCCAGCCCCCTCCGAATATCAAATGATCGGCCCTTTATGCAGAAAAACCTGAGGAATGTTTTTATGTTATAGGAAAATTGTTGATTTTGATTGGAGTCAACAAAATGGTATGTTCTCCCAGGACGCAGGCAACAGCGTGCTGTTACGTGTGACGTTACCTCAGGGACAAAATTGCCCGTATGAAAGAATCATCAATACACTTGCGATACTCGATAGCAGAATGCCATGCATTGCTTTCGTAGCGCTTAAACCTGAAACCCATGATCAATCTCATTAGAATCAGATCTTAGTTCTCGCTATCGCTAAACAAAGATCTGAGGACATCCTATTACGGGTCACGTCAGAACGATCTTTCATCCGACCAATCAAAGCGTCGCCTATCGGATCGTGAAAGTGCTATCGGAATGTGTTTCCTAATCATGCAACTTTGAAACGTTAACACGGGGTATTCCGAACGACAGTTAAGGCCCTACGAGTGATTCCGTCAAAATTATCGTCTATCTCTCGCTTCCGTGGGCTAAACATTTGAACGGAGGAGGTGTTGCACAGTGCGTGGGAAGCACTGCCATACAATCTCTGCCATATATTAGACATTCTGGAATGTTCGTTTGTTCAGTTTTCAAAATTTTAATCGAGAACTGTGTCAACATATTTTACAAGCGTAGTCTGAAATGGAAGTTGCCAGCCTGAAACGAGTGCCGTAAAGCTCGAGAAAGCTGTTTTCTAATTGGCTGATGTCGACTTCTTGTTAGTCATTTCAGTGGTCGGTCAAAGTTCGCGAAAGGTCGTTCTGACGTGACCCGTAATGGGACGCCTCAGATCTTTGTTCTGTTCAGCGGCAGCGAGAACATCTGATTTTAATTAGATTGAACCCATGATTTAACGGTCATGGTGTTTTGAAATGACACAAAAATCGCCTAACTGAAGGTTGTCGAATCAGCTGCTTACCAATGTACATTCCCTTAGCATCATGGCTCTTGTTACAGTTCGAACTATAGTTTGAAAGAGTATTTACGATCCGTCTATAATATTCCGTGGCATTAGATATTTTTAGCGTAGTTGTCTCGGGGATTCTTGTAGAATCTTATCCAGAATGTTTTTTGTTGTTTTTAACTTTGTTTTACATAAAGGTAGATGTACTGTGTGTGTTGTGATTTAACTACTTTGTTAACTTTCCATTCATTTTATTGTTTATGTATTCAAGATGCAAGATCTTGCCATGCGGAAAGTCCACTCGATAAAGTAAATACAGTAAACTACGGTTATAACGAACTCAAAGGGACTACTAATTTTAGTTCTTTATAACCGTAATTCGTTATAATCATATATACAGCATAACTACTGCAAATAGTCGGAACTAAAAAATCAGTTCGTTATATCCGTCAGTTCGTTATAAGCGTGTTCGTTATAACCGTAGCTTACTGTATATCGTCGAGATCCGCAAACGGTTGTTACTCCACTGCACCATGCTATTTCTGTGTGAAATATGCTTAAGATAGGGCGTATTGTCTGAAAGTAAGCCACACTCTTCCTGATAATATTTGCCAATTCGTAAATATATATAACAAATATATCCTATATATAATATTTGCATATATCTTCAATGGCAATTACCTCATCACAGGGATACATATAATACGTTTCTTGATAATAATCGTGTATAAATATACTATATAATGCTAGGGGGCACGGGTGGCCAAGTCGTCTAAGTTGCGTCCCTTGGGCACACCAGAAACATATTATTGTGGGTTCGAGTCCCGGTTCGCCCCGATTATATTTCTAGGTTTGTCAGCACCATAACGTGCACGGGGTTTCACCGAAGTGGTCAACGTCGGAGACCCTCATCACTTCGGGCTTTCCTCCCACATTAAGCTGACATGCCGCGATATAACTGTAATACTGTTATAAGCGGCGTTAAACCCAACTCGCTCACTCATTATATAATGCTAGTTGATTGTTATAGCTTGGACCGGTGCGCCCAGTACAAGACCGCAGCCATATAGCTGGAATACTGCTGAGTGCGGTGTTAAACAACAACAAGCAAACAGTACAAAATATCTGCTGAGCCCAAGTTTAAGATAGCAGTGGTATGTCTTAATGCAAACTTAACTTACTGATGTGCAAATACTTCCACATAGCAAAGATGTTATCAAATGCTCAAAGCTGTTGTTATGCTAAAACAATAGTATTCCAACATGGCGCTTCTGCCAAAGAATGCTCAATAAAAACCAAACCGACGTGTTTTACGTGCACTTTTACTGTCACAGATCGGGTGTCGCTGTTTATTGTTACGTTTGTATGAAGAACGTGACACCATTCTGTCTTTGTACCGTCTTTATGAATTTTTGAAATTAATAAATTGAGTGTTCTCGCGGTTTTGTGTGCTCTTCATTTCTTTTATAGGCTTTAGGTTTCAGCTTAAAGTTAAGGAACACCCGATTATTTCATATTACTAAAGTTGATATGTCATGCCATGACATATTAATTATTCTACCTTGACTTTGAAGAATGCTTGATTCTGATTGGTTGAAGAGAAGTATCCTCCCTTCTGATGCCAAGTGGTAAACGTCTGAGACCTGCACCACTTCGGGCTTCCCGGTGATGTGGATACTGTAACAAAGCGGCGTTAATCCCAATTCACACACTCCCCCTACTGATACGACCCGTGAAGATCCGGGGTAGAATAGGTCTTCAGGAACCCATGCTTGCCTATATATAAAGACCCGTGAAGGTTCCGGGGTAGAATAGGTCTTCAGCAAAACATGCTTGCCGTAAAAGGCGACTAACGGGATCGGGTGGTCAGGCTCGCTGACTTGGTTGATACATGTCATCGGTCCCAATTGCGTGGATCGATGCTCATGATATTAATCACTGGATTGTCTGGTCCAGACTAGATTATTTACAGACCGCCGTCATATAGCTGGAATATTGCTGAGTGCGGCGTTAAAGAACAAACCAACCAACCAACCAACTTTATATAAAGCATGTTGTTTTTTTTCTATCAGATTCAAGAAGATGTAATTTCTGTATATGCACGTGACATCATATTATGAGTAGGTATCAATTGTACTTTATGGCCATAATACTGAATAAACCTGTCTGTCAAGCTTGCCGTAAAAGGCGACTAACGGGATCGGGTGGTCAGGCTCGCTGACTTGGTTGAAGCATGTCATCGATCCCAATTGCGTGAATCACTGGATTGTCTGGTCCAGACTCAATTATTCACAGACCGGCGTCATATAGCTGGAATGTTGCTGAGTGCGGCGTAAAACAACAAACCAACAACCAACATACTAATACCGCTTTTAAATTAAGCCTTTTCACACCCAAAACGTGCGTATGAACACATCGATCTATTGAGTCTACGCATCGATATCAGAACAACTGCTAATCGAACTTGATGAAATCTAATTACATAACACGCAACAATCACGTGAAATACACTCTGTGTCACGGCCACTTAATCATCGGTCACAAAAGTTTGCCTCTCTCGTCGTCCGCAGTTTTAACATCAATGATCGCAATACTTTCAGGGTGTCTTCTGCATGCAATGTTTGTGCAGTAGGCTCCTTTTCACCAGGACATCGTCAGGATAATGTTGAACACAACTACAGATCGAGATTGCCCTCTGGGTTCATGCAATTTGTAAATAGCACTGTTGCCGTTAACAACTATTTTGGCAGCCACGGACGTAGGTATAGTTCTGCCAGGTTGAATTTCAGGCTGGAGAGATAGTAATTCGTGATATGTATTATTGTTTGGAAACTATTTCAAACCAATTGCTACATAAGTACGAATTAACTAAAATTCAGTTATTCAATAATGTTTTTATTTTAGAAATAAATTCGTCCAGCATCTTTTTCACTACAACCTGTCACCCCTACAGTTGGAAGATGTTATGATGATTTCCACGAAATGACTTCAGTCAAACTCCAAATACACTAAGCTGCGATGAAGTTATAAATATAATCTTTCGAAAGTTACTGAGTTTTGAACTGTATAACTTGAACTAGTCAAGACTGAGTATTTTAATCTTCAACTTTTGTAATGTTTGAAATATTAATAACCATCTGTGACACATTTTCGTAATGTTCTAAGAAAGCGGACCTTTGTACCATGTGTAATGTATTAAGCGTTCCAAGACAGAACCGTTTTCAAAACTCTCTTGCCGTCAAGAGAATGGAGATAAGCCTACTGTGTTTTGAAATTGACTGTAGTTCCACTGTCGGAAGCCAATTAGATACCCGAAATCCCCACGTCAGACTTGTAGTTAGTCAGTGGGAAAGACCAGTCGTGCCCAAGAAAGGCTGTGAATATTTTGAATCATCCGATGTCCTTCCACATCGAACAAGGTGCTGGTGGTTCACATTTAGACGGTGTGTAGAGTTGTGTCCCTTGGGTACACCAGAAAAGTGATTGTGGGTTTGACATTCCGGTTCGCCCCGATTATGTTTCTAGGTTTCTCAGCACCAAACCCGTTTCATGGGTTTCTCCAAAGTGGTAAGCGTCTGAGACCTGCATCACTTCGGGCTTTCCTCCCACAGGAATCTGATACGCCCGTATATGACTGGAATACTGTTCAAAGCGCGTTAAACCCATCTCACACGCGCACTCACTTTTAGAATCCTACCTTCTGTAGCTGTGGATAGGTCCTCATTCACGGCTAGAAACCTGTGACGTCATCTATATTTTTCAGAGGAATCTGATAATCGTATAATGACCTCTATTGTTCTTTGGCCTGTTAGAGGGAGGTACATACGTATGGGTTAGACCACGAGAACCAAGTGTCTAATCGTTGAAATGGCTGATTAAACCACAATTAGACAC